GTTTGATCGACCTAGAGATCATTTTGGAGGACAGGAGTTGAGATCTTAGTTGATGTTCGAACCTTAGTTGCTCAGAGAAAAACGAATAGAAGAGAAGAAGAAGACAGGAAGAGCCAGAAGTAGGAGGTGACCCAAGAAGGGGTGTGAAAAGTGTGGGTAGCACGCCTGTACAGTGTGTGGATCACCTAGTACCTGTCTGTAGTGGAACTTTTCGTTTTTCTGTCCTTGGGGTTGGAGCTGAGTAGGGATCTTCCTTTTTGGAGTGTGTTCTCTTTGGCCTCCTTAGCAGGACATGGTGGAATGTGAACCTTTAGAAAAGCCCTGGCTAGAGCTGTGTAGAGCTGTGTATAGTATGGAATAGCTTGAGAGTGTTTGGAGATGCTTTCTTGTTCTTTTTACACGTTTTGGACGACTGCGACCAGTCAATCCTCTTCAGAAGAAGAGATGAGGGACTTCGATACAGTCAAACCGACTGTGATGTTTGGCCCAAGAGCGGGATCTAAAAAGGGGAGGCTTGCGCTTCCGTGTTTTCACAAAAGTGGACAGTCTATGCGAGAAGCGTATATCGCGACAACTTGTAAGCATCGAGGGATTTACCAAGACGATGTCATGGTGTTGCTTTCGGAAAGCAAGAGTGTGTGCCTGTGAAGTCTCCTGGGACTGCACGCTAAGTCATTCCAGGGGGACAGCTGATCACTGAGGCTTCTTAAGTGACAGTGACATGTGCGGCGTGTGGTTGTCGTCGATACGCATCTGCCCGGAAGGCAGGGCGCCGTTCCCCCCTGACGGGGAGGAGGCAGGACATCAAGGGGGCCCCTGCACGGCCACACGATGCAATTGGACAGATGGCAGTGCTAGGCGACAGGAAGTTGCGCTACTGAAAACATGCAGCTGCCGAGGCTCTTATTGGATGCGAGTCATCAGGCCATGTAGGGCTCCGAAAACTTCCTGCAAGCATGGAAAAGTACCGTCCAGTTGGCTCATCGAAGCTAGTAGCCTTTGTTCAAGAAACGGTGAAACAGAGTAGCCTACGCCTTTGTACAGGGTAGCTGTACATCGACAGTGACTAAGGTCACCGTCCGTCGACAGCCAGCCTCAGCATTGCCGGCGCAAGGGATTCGACAGTGACTGAGGTCACCGTCGGATAACCAGCCAGCCACAGCATTGCTGGTGCAGGGGATCGGTTTAGACGGCTCTGTTGAGACGAAGACAGGGAAGAAGAGCTGGCAGCTCCTCTGTCCTCCAGTGTATTTTCTGTCCTGCTGGCCGCTCCTCTGTCCTGACGATCAGTTTGGCGCTCCATTGTCTGGAGTGCCTTTTGGGCGGTGCAGTTTTGCGCGCTTTGACCGCCAGCTGCGTTGCGCGCCGCGGTGTGCTATGGTGGCAGTATCTGTTCCACTCGTTGGAACACTCAGTAGTAACTCCTATCTGGTGAGCCCACTCTCTCCACTGTTCAGCTGACACCGGATCTTGATACTCCGTGCACGGCTGAGTTTGGCAGGATACCCCAGTGATAGCATTGCGCGAGCTCAGCTTGTCCATGTATTCGCTCGCAGCTCGGGGTGTCGGGCATGGTAGGCCATATCCACTGATCAGGCTTGACATCCCACGCCGCTGTAAGGATGTAGGGATTGCCCCCGGAATTGCCTGGTTGTTTCAGCCCAAGTCCTTCCTGTACATTTGCTTGCGCAAAGTTCAGCTGTTGGCATTGGTGCCCGATCGCTGAGAGTAGTTGCCTAGCTAGAAGCATGGCAGATGATCATGCAGCCATCAAAACATGGCTATGCCGAGCCGTTCGTACCATGATGCTGACGTCCAAAAAATCAGATTAAGGTTAGAAGTTCCGGTCTAGAGTGTTGCAAGTGAAGGTAAGCGTGGACAGGCTAAGTGCCACTGGTGAGGATAAAGTTTGCCTCCCCCCGAAAGGCCTTGGTCGCTTCCTTTTCAATCAACACCTCCTGGAGAATGCAGATAGTACCTACACCGGAAAGTAAAAATGCAAGTCATTGACCGGGAACTCAAGCTTATCCCTGAAAAACCTACTACCTTAAGCAAATAGATTGCAAACGTTTTAAACACAAAACGAAAGCACGTGCAACAGCTCACAAGCAAAGCGAAAGCACTCGCACCACTTTTACGCGCACCTTGAGCCAGCGCTCAAGTCTTGAGCCAAAGTAAAGTACAAAAGGCTATGAAGTATTCCTGCTTCCAAGCAATTCCCATGCGAGACACTGAAAGTGTCGAGCTTAAACGCGCTCAAACATGCGCAAAACTGTTCAAGAAACATTCACACTCCAAAAGCTACAAAGATTCGAAACACAAAGTTCCGTTCTTTCTTTTCTGAATCCTTCTCACTTCCTGCAAGGACTGGATTCAGAGGCAGTGTAAAGGCGCTCAAAACAGAAACGGAACTTCGGAAGGTTCGGAAATCAAGGCTGGGATCAAAGTCAGGTACAGGGATGCGCTTGCGAAAGGCTGCGACTGCAGAAATCTGAGCCTGTTGCACGTGCAGCACCTTCAGTGGGTGTTGGGACGCTCACGACACGTGTCGCAAGAAATGCCCAATCTGGGCACGCAAACTCAAAAAGCTTGTTAGCAAGCTGTGCTTCCAACCATGGGACCAGCTGGGCAGTCACCAGGTGCAAGAGATTGGGGTCTGTTGCAAGAATCTGAACAGTTTGGCCGTCGATGCAACATTGTGTCGTGGTGGCAAACTTGACCGGGAGTGGCACTCAACGGTCCAATCACCGCATTGGGCACTGGCTCAGCCGCTCCGGAAAACGAAATTGAGAGAAAATTTGATCACGTGGTTTGGCGACAACGATAGCATGAGATTCGCTTTAATCCGTGCAAGTGGAACTGGCGCATGGGCCACTGCGCTCCTAAAGTTTCATCTCCAAGCTGAAGTTGAATGCGACGCACGCCCTTGGTATGCCAGAGTCAGAGTGCCGACCGAAGCGAACCTGAGTGACTTTCCGTCAAGACTTGCTGAAGGAGGAAATGAAAAGATCTGACGCTGCAAGAAGTGCTTTTGGCGAACTGTGTGCATTTGTTGACCAACAGGTCGGCTCATCCGAAAGACAAAGTGGGGAGAAGAGCTCCGGCTGATCCCCCGTTGAAAAGGAGCGCAGCTTCAATGTGAATTTGTCAAGACACCAAACACATAAGTGACGACTAGCTTCACTGAAGGTGACGAAGTTGTCACTAAGTGTTTCAAGAAAAACTTAAGGTTTTTCTGGGCGTGTTGCAATGTGAGAGCTCATTTTGTGACATTTAATCTCAAAGGCGGGCGAGGCGGGCTTGAATCAACCAAAATGGTCACACTTCTTTCAAAATGCTCACACCCCCACACCTCGAGTATCACTTCGTGAACATACAGGCCAAACCCTGGGCCTAGAAGAGCTCGGCTGATCCCTCGTTGAAAAGGAACGCAGCTTCAATGTGAATTTGTCAAGACACCAAACACATATCTTGTCCAGTGCGTCGTAATGGAACAAAAGCGAGTGACCAAAGGGGGAGAGACCACAGTCGCAACCCTTTCGACTCGCAAGAGAAAAAGAGCGTGATGCGATCAGTTTCATGTGAGTGAAATCAGACGGAAATTTGACAAAATGTGGCGACCAAAGAAGCTCAGACTATTGGAGACATGCAAGTTGACGCCCGTGCCATGGTAGATTGCATTGTCCGAAAGACTTGGGACCCAAAAAAGGTTTGGCAAAACTTCGCCAATAACATTTTTTTGGGAAACACAGTATGAGATGCAATGTACGAGCTAGCAACTTCAAAAATGGAACTTGCATATTTATATATACTTGTGTTTTTTGGCCTGTTCACGACTAAGAACAAACGACAGCCTTTGTGCATGATCCATGGCAATGTTTTCTTCAATTTTTTCAACTTGGTCCGCGAAGTCTGCGCTAAAATGTGAAGACGAAACGTGAAACTACGAATTGCACAAACCCTTTCGATGCCACATTGGTTTTCAGTGTCGGACACCTTTGTTTGGATGTGGGAATAGTTTCTGTTGATGGTCTTGAATGCGCCGACATTCACATGCATTGGCCCAACAATTTGGTAGATGCAGGGGCAGAGGATTCATTGGGTTTGTGTCCCCTTCCTTATCCAGAAGCATCACACCAATTTTTTTAAAAGCAGATTCTGTTCCCAATGTTGGAAGTGACAACTTCCGTTGTTTGTTGATGCCAACATGTTCCAATGCGCACAACATACCCCACAACAATCAATTTGACATTCATTGTTGACTCAGTGTGTTTCTTGTGTTCCCGATGCTATCCAACGCATGATGCCATGCCCAACGGTGACCGTGAACCTTTGCGGATGTCTTCCGTTGGGTGCCGTCACTACAGGTGGTTGTTGCCATGATTGACATGATTCAACAAGATTCAGCTGAATATGTTTAAAGTCGAGTCTCCAGGAGACGCTGCAAAATCGTGTCTCCGTTTTGATCTTAGTTCAATTACATTCGTGTTGATCTTAGTTCATCCCGAATCCATTCTTTCAGCCTTTTAGCGAGGTGTTGTGGCCAGGTCTACTGGTGCCGTCACTGCCACAATGAAGCAACCGACTCATTTTCTGTTTAGCATGTCCGGCTCAGCTTTTTGTACAGAGGCAGCGAGCAGCAGCAGCTGGCCGCACGAAATCAACCGAGCACAGATCGTTGAGGCACCTTTTGAGTCCAGCCTTCAAAGGCGGATTTATGACGGATAATCCGTGGCAGGTGATTTGCCAGCTGTGCAATCACCAACAGAAACCTGCACAGCAGAGCTCTCAGAGACGACATTGCTAATAGAAACAATGTTCGCTACTAGGAACAAGTGCATCGCTACTAGGAGCAAGGGCCTTACTAGTAGTAACAAGGTTCGCTATTAGAAACAATAAGCGAAATGTCTGCGACGACAGTGCCAGGAGCTGCGATGCTTGTGGCACCTTGGTCCAGACACCTGTCTTCCTTCATTTCCAATGATCGAGATGCTGAGGACATGACTTTTCTTCATATTATTGCCAGCAATGCAACTTTTGGGACGATGTCAACTGCTGAGATGTTGAGTAAAACTGCCGTCACCCGAAGATATGCACCTTAAAATTCAATGAGGATGGGATCAGGAAGCAAGTCTTCCATTGCGACAAATGCGGCATTTGCCGCGTCGGAGGTCGCGACAATTATTGCACGACACTTGAGCAGTGAGATTGGATCACGGCAATGGCATCTTGTTTCTAATAGCTTCTTGTTACTACTAGTAAGGCACTTGTTACTAGAAGCGAGGCACTTGTTCCTAATGCGAGTGCTTTGAGATTGATCCAAGTTCACTGTGATGCTTGTGGAAGCTGCCGGATCCTAAGCTTGACGCGAACCAGGGGTAGAATTTGACGTTCCTCAAGCGCAAGGGGTACGGCCTTAAGGGCCTTTGGGACCCAAAAACGGCCACCGTGCAACGCCCCGTGCAAGTGCTGCAAGTGCTACCCTGCCGGTTGCTCTTTTTTCTTTCAGGTTACCCCGCCGAGATCAAAGATTCGCACACGTGCGTGGAGAATGCAATGCGAAGAAACTGCCCGGTGTGCTTGCAGGAATTCAAGACATTGATCATGCTGGGAGTCATGTTTTTGAGTGAACTAGTTTTGGAAAATGGATTTCCAAATTTTTGTTTGACACACAACCAACCCATCATTGTTAATTAAAGAAAGCGGACATTCAAGCACCTGATGCTTTTGTTGTGTTCTGCACAAAAGAGCGAGTGTCTCTTGCAGGATCTCTTTCAATCGGTCACGCAAGTCACGATCTTGCAATGCGGCCATACCATTCACCAGGTCAAGCAGTGAAACGCGTTTTGTTCAGATGTTGGCGATGTTTGTTTTGCTTAGCGACAGGACTGCCTTCGGGAATTGCAAATGTCGTTTGCAGGCAGAATCTGCTTTTGCATGTGCGCAGCCTGTGTGCGCGTCAGCTCAGGATTGCAGTCCTTGCGGTGCCCCATATGCAGCGTGCCCGTATCAGCACTCCAAGTGATACTAAATCCGCCCAAGCAACGCGTGTGAAAGACTGCGTTTTGTACAGTTTCTGGTGTGTGTTTTTTTGCATTTCTTCAAAGCGGGGTCAGTCAGGTGTCTCTCTACGGCTGCGACGATCTGTGGCACGAGATTGACCGGCAGATCGAGGAGACGCCAATGCCTTTTGAATACAGGCAGATATCATTGGGTTCGAAGTCGAAGGAGTCGAAGAAGCCAGGTTCCTCGCTTGAACCAACTTGAACGTGTAGCGAAGCGGTTTTTCATGGGGGACTCACAAGAATCCACCATTTCGTGAGGTCAGGACGGCGTTTGGGTGTTTGCTGCTTCGGAATCGTGGAATCGTGAGGGTCGGGTGGAAGTGAATGTCGTGTTCTCGCTTTGGACTTTGAGGCTTTTGGCGCCAGTTCGGTCCAAAGGTGTGCGGTGTGGCGAAATTACGTGCCATTGGGGAGCGGGACACATGCGTGTGTAAACGCAGCGTGCCTTTGTGAGCGACTTGTCGCCACAAAGTGTCCCACAAGAGTGTCCCACAAGAATGTCTCCTACAAGAGTCTCCCAAGAGTTTCCTACAGAACTGTGCCACAAGAGTGCTCCCCAAAAGGTGTCCCACAACACTGTCCTATAAGAGATTACAGAAGAGTGTCACCCCAGATTGTCCATCTTTGCAGAATGCCACACGAGTGTTAAAAATTGTATAGGGCACGTGCGTTTATTCGGGTTCGTTGGTTCCATCTTGTTTTTTTTAAGAAGAAGGTAGAAATAGAAACGCGAATAACTTTCAATTCACTGTTTTCGCGTTTCCCATCTCTCTAAGCGGAATCTGTGCGGCCAGGCAGCAGATCAAGATCAGTTGTCACTTTGCTGCAGTTTCAACTTTTGAGAGAAACGCTCATGGTGGCGAGCTGAATCTAAAAATACGCTGTGGTGGGCATCCGAGTCCCTCACTAGTTCTTCTGCTCAGTCGCGCAAACAGCATCCTGCTGGCTTTTGGGGCTCCAACTTGTCCGCTCCGACTTGTGGACTCTTGTGGACTCTACTAAGACTAAATGTTTGTTTTTAGGCCATGAGGTAGGTTCCCCCCAAAAAACTCTCGCACTATTCACTTGGTTCCAGAGAGCTTGGGGGGAAACTTAACCGAAATCAGATGTGAGTCCCGTTGTATTTGGTCCACATTGCACCCCGATAGTTCGCAATTTTCGGAAACTAATTCGCTACTGTACTGGTAGAAGAAATGTGCATGACATAAAATTTAGCAATTTTCATTGCGTAGAGAGGTAGTGTGTCTGGTTTAGTGCGTCTGGTAGTAATGTTCTGGTGGTGGCCCTTGTTGTCGGTGGGGATGGTTTGTACGGCGTGTTGTTCTTCTTAGTCTATGGGCGTGTTGTTTCTTTTTAATGTTTACTTGAAAACAAAGACTGTGCCCAAAGTGGAGCCAAACTTCAGTCAAAAGATCTTCTTTTCGTTGTTTGAAACTCCTTTTTCAGAGCATTTGACCACACTTCCCACTCGCTCTCCCTTACAAGGCAGCCTATCCTCCGAGTCCAAAGTATCGACGGAATGTCTGAGGCAATGATTGCCAGCAGCCATCCTCAGTGGAATTTCACATCCTTGGACAAAAGTGCCTAGCTTGCAGGCAAGATCGCAATGAAAAACGCTTTCTGTTCCCTTTTAGACGCTTTCTTAAAACTCCATATTCCGCCTCTTCTTGTGCTTGGAGGTCCTACAACACAAGACGGGTATGAAGCCCCATTGAGAGCGAAAATTGTGGCAGCAAGTTTCACCCAGATCGAGGTCTTTGATTGAATCCTGCGGAAAGAACAATTAAACAATTACATTGACATTGGTGCCAGCGCTTCTTCAAGGAAGCTCCCCACTGGCGGGAGCTTCCTTCTTGAAGAAGCGTGAGCTATCCTGCGTTCAGTTGCTAGAAGCTTAAGCATTGCTGGTAGCGAACTTCTCCCCTTCTCAGCTATGTAGGTGCCTACGAAGAAGAAGAAGAAGAAGAAGAACTAGAAGAAGAAGAAGAAGAAGAAGAACAAGAAGGAGAAGACCAGTATTAAGTGAATTTAGTCTTTCAAAATACACCTCACTGACCCTTCAAAACACAAACAAGGGTTTTGGAAGTAAGACGCTTTCGGCAAACGCAGCTGCAAGAGGCATCATCAAAAAGACGTAAAGATCAAACACACAAATAGGGATCAACGGAAAGAAAGGCTTGAGAAGAGAAGAAAGGCAAAAAGAAATGACAAAACTACAGTAATAAAAAGAACATAACAGAAAGGAAAAGGAAGAACAAGAGACACAAGAACAGCGCCAGTCCAGGACTGCTTGGTGCCGGTGTCCATTTTAAGCAAGCATAGAAGCACGTGGAGGGCATTTGGGAGAGTCGCTGTGTTCTTTTCTCAAGCCCCCGGCAGAGCCACCATCCCTTTCAACGTAGGCCCCTCGCCATACTTATTTACCAAAGGATAGGTGTAGGGACCTTTCTTACCACCAACATGCACTGCTGAGACCCATGTGCTTTGATCAGGCTCAGGTGCGAGATCTCATCTTCTTGGGTAGCTCATCAGCCATGTCGACATAATCATGTTGTGAAAGGTTGGTTCAGTTTCCCTCAAAATCTAAGAACCAAATCAAGTGCGAGCGCTTCCTTGAAGCGTCTTCGCTACCGTCCTACCAAGAAGCTTACTTAAGCGACTAGCGGCCTACTTTAGCGACTAGCTAAAAAAGTCATTGTAGTTCCTCCTTGTCGTGGATCTCGTTGGTCTCCTCGGTCAGGCAAACAGTGGAACAGCGAACTCTTCCCAAAACTTGAGTTTTGCTCATTTCGTATTTGGGAGTTGGAGACGAAAAGTTGGAGAGAACAGGTCAAAAGTTGGAGCGTTTCAGAACTTGAGAGAGTGCCAGGCAGAGTTGAACCGTCGGAACCTGTCGGAACCGTTGCACACGGAAAAGACCCGTCGGGATTTGCCAAAAAGAAACGTGTGCGCATCGCAAATAGCTGGAGCCACTTGGCCCTTCCATGTTTTGGCAATGGAGGTCATCATTCTCCACGAGTGTCTCCGCCTTCAATCGCAATCTGCCTTCAATCGTTTCTGTTTTCAGGAACCTTTCCGAAAAGGCGAGGGAAGGGCCCGGCAAAAGGATCAGGAGGCGATCGGTGTGGGACACTTGGGCGGGTCTTCAACCCAGCGGTGGGGCATTGGAACCTTGCGATCTACAACCACAACCTGAAGAAGTGGTTGAAGAAGCTACCAGTAACAAGTGCATCGCTTGTAGTAACAAGTGCCTTACTAGTAGTAACAATGTTTGCTATTAGAAACATTCAAGAAGTGGTTGAAGAGATGTCGTTGGTGTGGATGGCGCCTCCCTTGTGTGTACCAGTTCACATGTCCAACTCGGCTCAGTACCGGAGAGGGGCAAACAACTTGGCCTGGTGCGCTTACTCGAAGTGGACTGTTTGGGCGCAAATCCGGGAGCGCCAAGCCATCTTCGAAGTGTTCCACCACAGGGCTTGGAGCAATTTCTCCGGCTGCTTGGTCGTCTTTCGGGCTGTGGTGGGGAACAAGGAGGTACTCAGGTGCAGATGGATTGCTCTGATTGCTCGAGCTCCCAGTTTGGAAGCGTGAAGTTCCTTGTTTGGATTCTTTTTCAATTTGCTTTGCTTTGCAGCTGTGTGGCTCACGACCCGCCACAGAGCGACCGAGCCAAGGACGGATGTTTGAAAAGGGTGTAAGGTCGGAAATGGGTCTTTCTTTATATACTTGCAACGACAAACTTGGCCAGGAGACAATGAAAGAAACTTCGACATATTTGAAAGTGCCAAACTTAACCAGCCGTGAGTCAGCTGTTTGTCTTGAAGAAGTGGATGCTTTTTTAAGTAAACGTGCTCTAGCTTTGTGGAAAAGTGCTTTGGTGGTGTCTCACACGGTCATACAAAGTATTGGAAGAAAAGATCAACTGGTTCTGAGAATCGGGCCAGCGTGCTCTTTGGCCGCCCAAGCTTTCATCGGACAGCAAGTGCAATCCCGAGAGAGAGAGAGAGAGAGAGTTGAAGAGAATGAACGTGAAACAAGTCACCTTTTTTCAGTTCAGCCTTGTCTTTTTATCGTAAATGAGTCAAGTTGAACAACATCGGAAGGGAATTGATTTTGGCACTGTGTGCAGATGCACAAGAAGCTGGCTGCTTCGATAGGCGCAGTGAGTCGGGTGATTCGATGAGAATGTCGACTGTGTTATTTTAAAAGCGCCATCCTACTAGTAAGGCACTTGTTAATACTAGCGAGGCACTTGTTCCTAGAAGCGAGGCACTTGTTCCTAGTAGCTTCTTGTTACTACTAGTAAGGCACTTGTTCCTAGTAGCGTCCTTGCTCCGTTCGTAGCGATGCCCTTTGTTACTAGTAGCGTCCTCTTGTTACTAGTAAGGCCAGGAGCTACGTTCGTAGCGTCGCTATGAAAGTTTGGCGCATTTGCTTTGCACCTTCACCAACCGTGCCACCGCCACACCGCCAGTTGCTTTGCGGCTTTTCTGGGCTATCCAAATCTTTCCAACAGCAGTACTGCCTCCTACTATCCAGAGAAGAAGGCGAGGAAGAGTTGGCGAATTCGCTTCTTCTCTTCCGTTATTTTAAAAGGGTCTTTTATTAAGGAAAGACGGAAGCTGACGGAAGACTCCAGCTGAGGCCTTGGGTCCATTGCCTCTACCTCGACAATGGGTACGCTACAAGTGGTATTCAGCGCAAGTTCTCAAAGTACTACTTTTGGCATGTTCTCAAACCCCAAAAAACATCGGACAACAGATTCCTCTCGAAAACCTCTTCAAAGGCCTTGAGAAATTTACCGCAAACATGTCATCCTCGTAAAGCATCTCGCCCAAAATAGTTCGCCAGGCTGAAATACCATCCGAGAAGCGTGGGAATATCCAGGTTGAGGCATGCTGTGAAAGCAAATGATAAGAGATTGGGCGACCAAAACAGTGAATCGCCAGTTCAACCCGATTGTTTCAGGTGGTTTCCCATGCCAAGGAGACACCAAAAGGCTGGATCAACCAGGAGCTTCTTGGGGACAAGTCGGAACAAGTGTAACGAATCATAAAGGGCCCCACCTGGATTTTTTTTTGTCTATCTTTGCCATGCTTTGTTGACACGTGTGACACAGCTTTGCAAATTGACACACCTTTGTCCTTTTTCATGTCTGTTTGCACATGAGCCTTTGCACCCACCTTGCCGGGCAGGGTGGTGGTCATCGGCCGAATCGCATCCCACGCAAGACGTATGTATGTATTTCTCTTTCTAGGGAGGGACTTTTGCATCTGCTTCACGAAGGGTGTTGTTCACCCGTGCTGCCATCCGCCACCGCGCTGCATCTAGAAGAAGTCCACGTGGTAAGCCACATCATCGTCGACTGGCATGGCCTCAGTAGCGGCCTGTGGCTCTTCATGGGCTGCATCTTCAGCAGGGAACAAGGCTCTTGGCCTGAGAGCGCTGGGCTCCGATCTGGGAGCCGTGGGGAGCTGAGGCGGATGCTGGCTGCTGTGTGCATCTCCTGCCTGTTTTTCTTGTCAGTCAACACCGCAAGGCCGCAGTGCTTGCAGGTGACTTTGGTGCCAAGAGGTGGGTGCCATGCCCAACTGATTCTCCTTGGTATGCTTCATCGACGCAGGGGCTGTTGACGAAGTCGGTCCATGTGGTCTCTTTGGACCTCTTCAAGATGGCCACATGGTAGCCCTTTTGGGGATCTTTCGATCTGGCTGCACCGGCTCATGGTCATCAGGTGGAGGCTGATGCTTTCCATCGCATGGCTCTTGCAGCTTCTGCTTGATGGTGGCTGCAGTCAGTCCTTGATGGATGCGTGTGCTGCAATGCGCACATTGATAGCCACTGCGGTGCTTGGTCCAGTGGTGACCTTCTTCAGTGGGTGGCTCATTGCACTTTTGCACCAGACGCTTCTTGTACTGCTTTGTGGTACCTGTGAGCGTTTGGCCTTGTCATGGATATAGTGTGCTGGGTCATTGAAGATGGCACAAACGCACTCGGTGGCATACTGGTAGACCTGGAAGTGCTCTTCATCAAGGGCTTGTTGCCATTCATCATTTGCCTTGTTGTAAAGTTCCTGTGCCCTCTCCCATGCCGTCAGTCGTGCGTCTCTCTGCCGGCGTCGGAGGTGAGGTTCAGCGCCAGGTTGGTCCGGTGTTCTGGCTTGAGCACTGACGTACAAGGCTGTGACCTTCTTCTTCTGTGTCGGGTCATGAAGAGCATCTAGGTCCAGGAAGGGATGCTGATACAGCAACGGAAGGGGTGACAAGCTTGATGGCCTGCATGGTGTGTTGGGCCAAAATGTGCATGCCATAGTACAAGGCCCTGCTTTTGCTCTGTTTCCCTGGAGGAAGGCCGGTGATGGCTGCAACCCAAACTCAGAGTGTGAATGCAGATGGCAAACACCCACCCCTGTGATCTGGTGTCGTAAGTGGTTGGGGCTGCGTCAATGGACACCACATAGCCATTGTCTGCGGCTAAGTCCAGGGCTTCGCCAAAGCCCGTGTCCACGAAGAGTGGTTGGCTCAGTGTCATGGTCGTAGATCTCCTTGTTGATCCAGTCTCTCGCCCAGAGTGGATCCTCATCAGGGTTGTTGACCCGCTGCGTCCAAGGCAAAGGAAGAGCCTGGTGCCCTTTGCCATGGTGCCATTTGCAAAGCCAGATGATGTGCTTGGATGTGGCTGGTACTTGGCAAAGAGGGCAAAGATCATCACCATGAGGGCTGTTATATTGAATGGCTCCCTGAACCCAGGTGTGCATAGCTGTGGTTTGCTTTTTGGAAGCCTTGCGTTTGGAGCTGGTGGTATACATGCCAGTCCAATCCGTTTCTCAAGTGGTGGCAGTTCTTGCGTTGCCGGAGTCGTCGAAGTCGTTGGTAGGTGACCTCCTGCTGCAAAACAGCTTCAATCTTCCACCAGGGCTCTGTGAGATCGAGCTCCATTTCCGGGCCATAGTCCTGCAGATCCCTGTGCCAGAGATGGGGTTCAGTGAGCTGCCATTGCCATTCCCACATGTACACCATGACTGCGGCCATTGCCATTCCCACATGTATGTATGTATGTATGTATGTATTTTCCCTAAAGTGTCTTTTGCTGCACGAACGTTCTGGCTCTTTGGCCGCTGCAGGCCGCCGGTGGTGGTAGGGCTCTTTGTCGTTGGCTTCAGAAGTACTCGACCTCCATGCACGTGGCCCTTTCTTCATCAGTCATGTTTTCGTCTGTGAGCTCGAGCAGGGGGTCATCTGTGTGGGCCTCCTCTTCTGGTGCCTCGTCCTGCCAGCGTGGCCATTGGTGGTTTGGGAAGTGGAGGTGTGAAACGGTGCAGTCCTGGCCATGGTGTTGCACTGTCCTGGTCCCTTTGGTCCTGCTGGAGTGGTGTGCTACTCCGAGCAGTGAAGGAGAGTTTCTTTGGAGCCAAAGGCAACGGAGTGGGCGCTTGTGTGTGTGTGTGCCCGAGGTGGGGTCACCAGAAGTGGCTGGGTATCATAGCCTACTGGTGCCTCAGAACTGGTGGGCCTCGGTGTCGGTGAAGGTAAGGTGTTGCTTGCGTTGCCTGGTTTTGCTCTTCTCTTGCATTGGAGTCTGCTTGACTTGGCTGTTCGGCTTGCCGCTTGAAGATCTCGCTGAGGGGAGGAGAGCCACTGATCCCTGACCCTTTGCAAAGTCAGGATGATTCGACGCTGTGCATCGAGGTGTAATTGGAGCCCACAAAGCTTGCAGGACAAACGATCACCCTTCTGCCACAAACTGTGGCTTGCGTGGCCTTCATGGGCTTTGTCGTGGGCTTGGTCAATGCAGGTGCTGTTGATGAAGTCATTGAAGGCTGCCTCGTTGGTGCGCTTGTGAACACTGCAGCCACATTTGTCACACCTCAAGTAGCCCTTGGTTAGCTGGTGCTGCTCCTTAGGATGTTGCGGATCGCCTGGGCTCTAGTGAGCCTTCGGGGTATTGGCTTGGTCGGACTGTGTTGTTCTGGATGGTTCTTGCTCAACTGTGGACAGTCCTGCCCGAGTCTGTCTTCAATGACCGTCACAGTGAGGGCTTGATGCAGCCTGATGCCGCAAGCGCTGCAATGGTAGCCGCTGCGACGCGGTTCCCACCTGTGATGTGGTGGAGCCCAGGGCTTTTTGCACTGGTATACCACCTTGTGATCTTGGTCTAGCGCTTGTTGCCATTCAGTGTTCTGCCGGTTGTGCGTGGCATTGGCTTGCTCCCAGGCCTTCTTCGGAGGTGTGGCTCATTGCCTGGTGCCTCTGGGGTCCGGGTTTTGCGGCTCACATACAGGACCGTAACCCTTTGCGTGTCTTGGTCGGTGAGATCCTCGAGCAAGTCCAGGTATGGCTGTCGATGCCTTGGATTCGCCCAAGCCCCCCAGACTGTTGTGAGTTGAACAATGACCTTCGCTGCATGCTTGTCCTTGGTAGGGATGATGGTCACGTCACGCCGGTGTTCTTGTGGTTCGAGCGGAATCCAGCCCGCAGCCCACAGAGGATCCTCGTCATGGTGCATGATTCTTTCCGCCCATTCTGGTGGCATAGGCGTGCCCTTGCCCTTGGTGCCACTTGCAAAGCCACAGGATGTGCTTGGGTGTGGCTGGCGCCCTGCAAATGGGGCACTGCTTTGCCTGGCTGGCTTCTCGGAATTGTACTGCTCCTTGTACCCATGTTTTCAGATGTGGCCGGAGTTCAGCAGGCAATTGTTTGACCATTTGGCGGTATACATGCCAGTCCAAGCCGGTGATCAAATGCTGATGATGCTGTCGCTGAGCCAAGCGACTTCTTCGTTGGTTTTGAGCTTCAGCCATGAGAACCTTCTCAATCTTCCACCATGGATCCTGAAGTGAGATCTCAGCCTCCAAGAGTAGGGGTGTGCATCGTCGGAGCTCAGGTACTTGCCATTCCCACTCTCCCATGTAGGCGATAGTGGCCGCCGTGGGTCCCTGACTGTGTAACATGGATATTGCTTGACCTGGAGCTGTTGGTGGACCTCATGCCAGGCTTGTTTGAGACAAGGCATCTGGTCAGTTGGCCATGCACGGTAGAGGGTGTGCGTGGCCTTGATGTGGTGCGCAAGGATCTGGTCAGCTGGGTCCATGTACTTGTTGCTGTGAATGTCGTAGGTGCTAGCAAGTAACCACCGGCATGATGACCCAGATGCCATGGCCTGCTTCAGTGCAGTACGGTATCTGGGAGCTAAGCCCTGGCCTTCTATGGTACAGAGAGCAACAGGTTGAATTCCGCCTCGATGCAATCGAAGTCTGACCTTCAAAGCAGGGATCTTCAATGTCCTCAATTTGAGTTTCCTCTGTTTGGTTTTGTTCATCCTTTGTCGGATGACAGGAATCCTTCTTCGTCGAGCTGCCTGGTGATCAACTCCAAGATCCCTCATGACCGATGCCACTTGGGGGCTCTTGTGGGGTGAGGAGCTCCTTGACGGCTCGATCTGTGGCTTTGTTTGTGGCGCAGCGTGACCACCATGTGCATTTGCAGCTGTGTTGGTAGCTCTGCTGAAGCCTCCATGGTCTGGAACAGATGGAGCAGCGGTCCCAGTGACAGCTTGTTGGGGGCTGACTCGTGGATGGGGCTGCTTGTCTTGTTTGATGTGCCACAGGTTGCTCCAGTCTTTTAGACGTTGATCCATCTTCTGTGGCATGGGAATTTGTCTATATGGTCGTTCCCAAGCAACTTCACTGCTCTTCAAGCTCCGGAAGAGTCCTCGTAGTCCTTTTTGTTGTCCTTGTTGCAACCACTCCTTGTATTGCGGCATGCCTTCTTCATGTGCTGCTTGTTGCGCCTCTTGGTGTTGGTGGCTCATGGTCTGCTGCATGAGATCAGCCGCACGTGGATCCCTGTATTTGTGCCAATGATGACGCGTGTCCATGAATTGGCCCCAGGTCGGTGGTCCTACCCAATGCTTGTGGACATCTTTGGTGGCTTGCGCGAAACCCTTGACTGGGCCTCCGGTTCGGTTTGCTTCTGGGCCACTTGGAATCTCACCTTCAGCTGTTCCAAAAATGCAGGCTTGCCTTTTTTCCAGGTTTGGCCTGTTTTGGTTGGAACCAAAGGCTTGGTCACGGCCTGGAGATTGGCTCTTCTGCCCTGGGCCGCCCATGGGTGTTCTTGGAGCATATCAGTAATCTGACTATATGCAATGTGTATGATTGGAGAAAGGAACCTTTTCACCGTGGAGATGGAACAACAAGCAAGATGTGGAAGAGAAGATCAAGACCAGTTGCATGAGAATTTGCTCTCGCTGAAGGAAAGAGAGATGACATTTTCTCACCGGCGACTTCAGGTCATGTACTGAAACTTCTACCTACAATCATCTTGCAGAGTCAGTGAAGAAGAAGAAGCAAGAGAGGGAGAAAGATTATTTTCTCAGGTTGTCTAGACGTGAAAGACGCTTTCTTGCAAGTTCCGCAGGAGAAGCCTTTGAAAGTGAGTCTGAGAGGAGAAAATTGTTGGTGAAATTGAACTTACCTGGACAGAGAGTTGGAGCAAACTCAATTACAAGTTCAGTGCTGAGTGTCCAGCGTCCACGCCTAGGAAGAAATGAGAAGGGTATCATGTGGATGACTTGATTTTCATAGGCTGTTCAAAGTGCACCAACGAGATCTTGCTTCCAAAGATTCAAGACAGGTTTGCCACCAGTGTGAGCAAAATTGAGAAGGTTGGTGATGAGTTCAACTTCCTGAGGAGAAAGTACAAACTTGAGAAAGATGGACCATGGACCCAACCAGGTAACTACATCCAACAGATGCTGAAGGTCAAACTCCAGCAACTACCTTCAGACAACTCAATTCAGATTGAGGACAAGTCAGAGGTCTTGAATGACCAAGAGAAGATTAGCGTATTACGATGTAGCATTTACGGTCAAGGAATTGGCTTCACGCATGTCAAATCCAACAACCATGTCCTTTCATCACTTTAAGAAGTTCCTAGGATACTTGAAGAAGACGGTGGACTATTGTTTAGTGGTTGAATTTCCACAGGCAGGAGAAGGCTATGTGAAGAAAGGTGACGCTATTGGTGCCTAGAGACATTTTCAGATTCAGATTGGAGCGATTGCAAGAGCCATAGAAAGCCAACATCAGGAGGTTTCCATGCATTGAGCAGTTGTCCATTGTTCAATAGCAGCAGAACACAGAAGATCATTAGCTTATCTTCATGTGAGGTAGAGTTACATGCAATAGTTTCCCCAGCGTCAGATGGTAAAAACATTCGTTCAGGTCTAGAGTTTGCGCTCGGGACAGAGGTGGACCCTTACATCTTCACAGATTCTTCGAGTGCGCGCCAGCGTGTGATGAAAGGAGGATTTGGAAAAGTGAGACATTTAGATGGAAAGTTGCCGTGGATTCAGAACAGACAAGATTTGAATACGGTACAAGTACCAACGGACGGCAAAATGACAGACATCAATACACTTGGAGGTCAGAGGACCAGATTTCTGATGCACCTTATTGGTTTTTGGCACAGTGAAGAGCAAACAAGAGTTGGTGAGCTTGAGGGAAAGGCGTACGAAGGGAAAAGAACTAAGCAGGCAAGGTCAAAAATTGCAAACATAAATGGTCAGAATCGTAACTTTGGAGGGCTTGCAGCCCATGGTTACAGAAGCAAGTACACCCATGAGAGATTGACCAGTGCAGGTTGGAAGTGAAAGGTTCCAATAGAAAAGGGAAAACCACGATCATCATGATCATTATCTTTGGTTTTGCAGCAATGACATTCGCAATGTGGAAGCTATGGAAGTATAAACATTGCTTAAGCCCGCGAAGAAATTTCCTTCGTGCAAAGGTGAATGAATGTGAAATCAGGATGGTGGAGATTGAGTACAACATCTACATGAAAGAAGAAGACATACTTCAGGTAGAAAATCTCATAGGGCATACCAGGAGAATTCATGGTGGATTGATTCTCAATGGAGGCTTTGTAGAAGAACTAGAACCAGATTCTCTACACAGAGTGAGTTATGACATGATTGCAGAAACGAACGCAGGAAATTACTTGGCCAGAAGGAGCTTTGAAGGTTTGAGATCAACAAGAGGACAGTAGCATGGACACACTGTGATGCTGCAGGCAGCAGCCCGAGGAGCAGTTCCTTCAGATGGACCAGGATCAAGGTCATTCAAAACAGGTCGTGCAGAGTGTGTGAACAGCATGGAATATGATGAAGAACAGAAAGAAGTACTACGTGGTCGACTTGAAGTGAAGATCGACATCTTGAACGCGCAGCGATGGGTATTAGAAGGAAGAGGACAGTTTGAACTAGCAGATAGGGTCGATCGTGAGAGACATCAATACGAAATGATGTTAGAAGAGGTAGAACCGAGAGTAGGTACCTCAATGAACCCCGTTCCTGAGAGAAAATGGGTAGAACAGTTGTATGAAAGCGGCAGAGTGAGCTCAAAAAGAAACTAATTGACGCTTACACTACCAAGGAAGGAGCGTGTAGAATTTACAGCATAGCTCATACGTATGAAGCCTTACTGGCAGATATTCCTCCGAGATGGCAGTTGGCCAACCCACAATCCACCCTTGAGTTTCTCCACGGAATCTTTCCTAGATTTTGCTTGGTCTACTCAGGTACCCTTTTCACTCAGGCCTCTTCAGGGTTAGCAGCATTCTGACCGTACGGGCTCTTATCTCGAGTGCGTGTGTTTGTTTTAAGAGTGGAAGCATGCAATAAGTCGTGTTGTGTGTTTTTTGCGAGGACTCGGCCATGGCTGTGCTTCCTGCCGGGTGCTCCGTGCCCTGGAAAAAACAGATAGGAGTAGAAACAAAAAAAGTTGAAGCAATTCTGACGAAAGATTCGGCAATTTAATAAAGACTTTGGTTTGTGTTGAGTTTTTGGTGTGTATGTTTAGATAGACCTGTCACTACTGTGCTTGATGGGTTTGTACTTGTAGAGTCGAGCTTAGTGTGGGTGCTTGTCCATGTGAGGAAAACGGAGATGGTGGCGGTGGTGTCTTCCTCTTCGGTGTTTTCGATGGTCACGGGCGGATGGGCCATGAGGCGGCGAACTATCAGACTGTCACAAGCAGTAGTTTACGAACAGAAGATGCACTTTTGTAAACACAATGACTGAGTTCACGTCCCCAGCAGACAATCCCGTTGCATAAACAAAACTGCATGTTTTGTTCCCTACGAACTTGTTCTCGTCACACCACGGGCTCTAGACAGTGACAAGCGAACAAAATGATAGAGTTTTGCAGTTGATGCTCCTTTCGAACCAAAATCTGGTTCCACAAGCTACACCGGAGACGTTCGTCAAAAAAGATCTTTATCGTGATACTGCAGTTGCCATTGTGGTTGTGGTTGCAAACAGAGTTCCAAACCAAGCTGGATTCCAAATATACACAAAGTCATACACACAAAACTACCAAAGATTCTCGAAACAAAGCGGAAACATCTCCCGATTTCAGAGACTGTACAAAACGGATTTCAGGAAGTTCTACTTGTCATCCATCTAAATCTAGAACACTCAAGAAGTTCCATTCCTATGCTGCTAAAGTTCCGACCAGGCTCCGACCAAGTTCCGAACCTTCTCCAACCATGTCGGAGATCAACCCTTGAGACTGATCACGTACATTTGCAAGTAAGTCTTGTATTGGCGACGAGAGCCAAACAGCAATCCTTATGCTGTGTAGCTGTGTAGCGCTCCAAACCTCCTTGACTTCCTTTGATAAGAAGGAGCGAGATGAAGTCAGCTCTTCTCAGGAGTTGCCAGTCTGTTTTGCCGCTCTTGCCCTAGCATACTGAGTACCTCCTTGCTGCTGCTTGTTGATATGGTTCAAGCATGGTTTGCTTGTTTGCTTGCCTATGCATCCAAGGGGCAGGTGAGCACCGCTCTTGATGCTGGACCCTATGAGTATCCCACGTGATTCACTGTTGCCATGGCTAGCCCTGTTTCTGGGCTTGTGCTGGGGCGGCTTCGAACACAAAGCGGCGCAAGACGAATGGCTTTCTGAAGCCTTCTTAACCAACAAGTGGTCGTGTCAGTACATGAAGATATGTCTGCTTCTTTGCGCACTTCCCCGCACCTTGGGGTCGGCAGAAATACTGGATTCTGAAATGTTTTGAACTGACAGCGAATGATGTATTGCTTTTTGAGAGGCCTCTGAGATTGCTGCGAGCCGAATGTCAAGTGCCGAGATTGTAGCACAGGTGTGTGTGGGTTTGATATGGTGCTGCACATCTCTAATCAAGGCAGAGGAATCCCTTGTGCATCTTTCACCCCGATTCCGAGGCCTGGGCATTTGAGCAATCAGCCAGTCCATCCCTCGCAGAATCCGGGCAAAGCTTTGGAGGTGAGAAGTGGAGATCTAAAAAAAGGAGACAAGAAAGTGATAGAAGAGGACACCATGTATCTGTTTAGGGTGCGATTGTATATGTTCGGTACATCCATTGTGATTTCCATTTTGTTTCGGGACATTTTTGGACTTTGGATTTTGGGAAAACTGGATTGCAGATTGTAAGACTGTTTTTTGTTGTGCAAGATGTTGGGTCAATGGTGGAATTTGCGGAAGTCACAGCATTTTCTTGTCGGTTTCGTGACATTTTCATGATGCCATAACCTTGTCACTGCTTCCAGAACATTGATCAGCATTGTCATCGACTGCGTAACCTTGTCATCGGCGTCCCAGGGTTGCAATGGACTTCACAACATTGTCATCGGTCTCACCGTCTCACCACGTTCTTTGATTTCACGTCACTGCCAATTCGTCGAAGGGTGTGACGCGGTTTGTGACTTGCGCATACTTGATTCCAATGATCGAAGCATGGGCCTCTGCGCTACAAATGGCTGGGCGGATGACGGGACCATGCGTGCGGCGGAAGGTGGCTGATGATGGCTCGAGGCTTTCCCAGTGCAGAGCGAAAGTCGACTTTCACTGACTACAGCTCCCTCGAAGCATGAGCAGGACTGATGGAGCACATGAAGTGTGAGGTGGAGGCCTCGAGAAAGCATTCTGCACGCCTCACCATGTACGGTGAAAGGTATGCTGCGGAAGCTTGGGATTTGCTAGAAGAAGCTTTCAAAGGGCACTTTTGTTGCTGTGAAGCTGGGTGAGCAGAGATGATCTCTGGCTCCATCAACTCATGACGGGAAGAAGATGCAGAAGGATTACCCACTAAACATCTTTGAGAGTGACGCAGACATTCGGCGAACACCCTACCAGTGGATACCGTCAGGCGTCGGTGAAAGTTGGAACTTAAAGCAAGGCGCGCCGGAAAGACGTGATCGCAAGAAAGCAGAGCGCAGAAGCCCAGACAGAATGGGAAAGCGGCAAGCGGCACTGCCAACAGCGAGTTCTGGGCCGCGAGCACTCCGCTGAGCACAAACAGTCTGAGCTCTGGGCTCCCAGAAGTCTCTTTCGCCGGTTTTCTCCGGTTTTCTGGTCGCTTGGGTCGCCTCTTTTGGTCTTTCCTGCTTGGGGTGTACGCTGCGCATGCCTGTTTGTCCAGGTAGTGATACGGAGAAGGCTTGAGTTTAAGAGCTTAGAGTCGCCGTTCGCCATTGATAGTTTTGGATTGAAGGATAGGCAGCCATCATAGCTGGACTCACATTTCGAGCCGCTGGCTTCGGGAGCCTGAGTGCTGGTGCCGCTGCAGGGTGCCGCTGCCAGATGTCTATGGCCGTGTGGTCTTTGGAGCTGCTCGCGGCGCTAGAGGCGTTTGTGGCCGAACAAGAATGAGCTGGCTGCGCACACTTTCGCGAGAGCGTGCCGGTGCCGGTGCCTGGCTGTGCGCGCTTTGGAGAGAGGGTGCCTGTTGCTGGTGTACTGTTCGCACGCATACCTTTGTATGCACACACACATGCATGCATACATACATACCTTACCCTACATTACCTTACCCTACGCTATACCCCACCACCTTAACACATGCATACGTACACCAAATTACATTTCATGACAGTGCATACAAAACACTACATACATTATCTACATGACATCGCATTTACATTACACAGCGAACACAACTTAACATAAGAGTGCAACACAATACAAAGCACAACATAACCTAACCTAACCTAACCCAACATAACATAACATACACCCATGCACGCATACAAACACACACACACACACGCATACATACGTACATGCACGCGTGCTTGCATACATACATGCATACATAGATACATGAGACGCATGCATACAAACACACATGCATGATCATGCATACATCCATACCTACCTACATACATACACGCACATTTTTACAAATACATACCTACAAATACATGCACACATGCATACACACACATACATACATACATACGTACGTACATACATACGTACGTACATACATACATACATGCGCAAATACAAATACAAATGAAATTGCAAATGCAAATGCGTATACACATACACTTACATACATACATATACACATACACATACACATACACACATACACACATACATACATACGTACACATACACATACACATACACATACACACACATACTTACATACATACATACATAGTTGCGCGCACGCATGCATACACAGACAGTCAGAAAGACAGACAGACAGACGGACCGGACCGGACCGGACCAGACCGACGGACAGACAGACAGACAGACGGACAAGGAAACAGACATGCATTACATGTACGTGCAAGATCATCTTTTGTTTTCCGGGGCGCAACAATGTTCTGTGAAACACGTGTGTGAGATTGCTGTTTGTAGTAGCTTGCTTCTGGTTTGTTCTTGCTATGTTTGCACGCTTGTGCATGGTGCCTGTGAACCTGGGAATTGCACAGTTCGCGCGCGTATTCTTGGACGGAAACAGTATGGAATTGTGACCCAAATGCATCCTACCAATTGGGTTTCGGTGCTTCTTGAAGGAGGGTTAGCCACCTTTTCTTTTTCCCGAGAGCGTCTGCGAAGGGTTTTTCGTAAAAAACATCTGCAGAACTACGTATCATCTACATCTTCACATCTTCACCTCTGCACATCCACATTCTCACCTATATCTCTGCTCATGTTCACATCTGCGCATCTACATCTCTGCTCATCTTCATCTTCGCATATCTACATCTCTGCTCATGTTCACATCTGCACATCTACATCTCTGCTCATCTTCACATCCTCACATCATCTCTGCTCATCTTCACATCCTCACATCATCTCTGCTCATCTTCACATCCTCACATCTACAGCTCACATCTTCACCTCTCGCTCTTCTGAACTTTCTCTCTTAAGGCCGGGCAGTGCCGCCGGACCGCCGCGAAACGCAACCCTCTGCGGAGATCGTGCGTGTCGAGTGCGCGAAATGCAGGCGAGAGTGCGATTTGCCCCGGTCTCTGCGGAGATCGTGCGCGTCGAGTGCGCGAAATGCAGGCGAGAGTGCGATTGGGGAGCTGGAAGATGAGAACTGGTGACTTTGTAGTACAAGTTTAGTACGCGGAGCAATCTGTGGAGCTGGAAGCTGAGAACTGACGACTTTGTAGTACAACTTTAGTACGCGGAGTATCTGGGGAGCTGGAAGATGAGAACTGGCGACTTTCTAGTACAACTTTAGTACGCGGAGTATCTGGGGAGCTGGAAGATGAGAACTGGCGACTTTCTAGTACAACTTCAATACGCGGAGCAAGCTGTGGAGCTGGAAGCTGAGAACTGACGACTTTGTAGTGCAACTTGAGTACGCGGAGTATCTGGGGAGCTGGAAGATGAGCACTGGCGAAGTTGTAGTACAACTTTAGTACGCGGGGTATCTGGGGAGCTGGAAGATGAGAACTGGCGACTTTGTAGTACAACTTTAGTACGCGGAGCAAGCTGTGGAGCTGGAAGCTGAGAACTGACGACTTTGTAGTACAACCTGAGTACGCGGCTGAGTCATCTCTCGCGGCTGGTCTGGCGCCCCTGCAGCTGAGTCATGTCTCCCGACCACCCGGCTCTCTTGAGAGGTTGACAAATTTTAGCTACTTTGCTTACTCATAAGTGGCTGCCACAAAAGAGGCATCGTGACGTTAGTATGTGTGTACTTCACCTTCATGACAAACGATGTTCGCTTGGAAGACACGAGTCGCTTGTCATGATCGTGACGTCGTTTACTCTCAGGTCGCCCTGTTCGTGGAAACTTCAGTGTGAAATGTATGTTCTTCAGTTCTAGTTGAACCTCTTCAGCGTTGTACTTGCGCGACTAAGGTTGACGTTGCATTGCCGTTGCATCGGCGCGTCTACGTCCACACCCCCTCACCTCTCTACATTTAAAAATTTACATCTTCACACGCTCACATCCGCAGATCTACCTCTCCACCTCACCACACCCACACATCTGCGCATCTATATCATGATCACATCTGTACATCCACACTGTCGCTCCTTCACATCTGTCCTGTCTTTCTTTCTTTCTACATATCTTTTCTCTCGTCTCTGTGCATTTACATCTTCGCGCGCTCACATCCACAGATCTACCTCTCCACCTCCATACATCTACAGATCTATATCGCACCTGCGCATCACACTGTCACTCCTTCACATCCACCCTCTCTTTCTCTCTTTCTATACATCTTTTCGACAGTGCTGGACAATTACATGTCTCGCTCTCGGGCCAACCGTCGTCTAGTTGTGTTGTTTTGCTAGATGTGCGCGGTTACACAATTTTTCCGCAGATAGCGAAGCTATGGGGTTCTTACTTCAAATAACAATGAGTTGCCTGTACGCGCTTTCGAGACAGGTTGCTGGTGCTGGTGCTGTGAGCTGGCTGTGCGTGTGGTGGAGACAGGTTGCTGGTGCTTGTGCCGGGTGCCGGTGCTGGTGCTGGGTGCCAGGTACCGCTGCTGGTGCTGGCGTCAGCTGGCAGAGCGCGCCGGCGCTGGTGTCAGCTGGTTGTGCGCATGGATTCTGCCTAGCTATCTGGGTCTATGGTGGTGTAATTCTTTTTGCGTTTGATGTTTGTGGTTTCTCTTTCACGTTAGAACCAGGGGGTGAGTTTGGTTGAAGGGGTGGGTGAGTTTGGTTTGAGGTGTCGCTTCCGGAGGGTTCATCATCGTTTGCATTCAAGTTGCAGACGTCAAAGTTGCTTGAAGTCACGGCGTTCCTTTTGAGTTGTTGTCTAGATGATCTCTCAATGAACCATGAACACCAATGCTGTTCCCCCGCACCTCCTTCGAATATTGTTGTTTTTCCTTCAAGTATAGGAGGGGCTGCCGGTGCGCGCTTTGGAGCTTAGGCTGCACGTTGCTGCTGCAGGGTGTTGCTGCCACATGTCTACAGCTGTGCGTGCATTGGGTGCCGCTGCGTTGCTGCTGCATGATGTCTATGGCCGTGTGCGTTTTGAACATCGGTGCTGGTGCAGCTGCAGGGCGCAACTCGCAACAATTTTTGCTACTTGGGGTCGGGTCTGTGCTGGCGTAACGTCTAATGTTTTGTATTTTTCCCCAGATAGCGAAGCTATGGGGTTCTTACTTCAAACATCAATGACTTGCCTGTGCGCGCTTTCGAGACAGGTTGCTGGTGCTGGTGCCGGGTGCCGGTGCTGGTGCTGTGAGCTGGCTGCGCATGCGGTGGAGACAGGTTGCTGGTGCTGATGCCGGGTGCCGGTGCTGGTGCTGGTGCTGGTGCTGTGAGCTGGCTGTGCACGTGGTGGAGACAGGTTGCTGGTGCTGGTGCTGGGCGCCGGGCGCCGGCGGGTGCTGGTGCTGTGAGCTGGCTGCGCACGTGGTGGAGACAGGTTGCTGGTGCCGGTGCTGGTGCTGGGTGCCGGGTGCCGGTGCTGGGTGGGTTGCTGGGTGCCGGCGCTGGTGCTGGTGCTGTGAGCTGGCTGTATGCACGCAACATCATATACGGTGTTGCTGCGTCAAGGGCTGTGCTGTTTGCGCACATACTTTTGTACGTATAATGTTGTATGCGCACCGTCAGGCTCTCAACCGACCATTGTTTCAGCATGTTTCAGCGTACTACACGCACAATAATAGTCATGCTGGCTATTGCTTGGCCTTGGGCGAGTGAGGCCTACGGGCTTTGCTTTGTGCATATACTTTTGCGCGCGTAAACTTGTACGCGCAACCCTGCTGTGCGCGTAATGGAGACAGGGTGCCAGTGGGCGCCGTTGCTGGGTGCTGGGTGTGCGTGGTGGATTGTGAGCTGGCTGTGCGCGTGGTGCAAAGAGGGTGTGGGTGCTGGGTGCTGGTGCTGGGTGCTGTCAGCTGGCTGTGCGCGTGGTGGATATTGGAGACAGGGTGCCGGGTGCTGGCTGTGCGCGTGTGGTGCTGTGAGCTGGCGCGCCGGTGCTGGGTGCTGGCGCTGGCTGTGCGGTGCCGCCGGGTTGCTGGTGTTCGTTGTGTGCGTGGTGCAGATTGGGTGCTGGCGCCGGGTGCTGGCGCTGGCTGTGCGCGTAGTGGAGACACGCCACGCTGTATTGCGTGTAAAAATTGGAGCTGCTGCCAATGCAGGGTGCAGCCCAGAAATTTTTTTGCATGCTTTTGCTATCTGGGGTCTATGCTGGAGTAATTGTTTTTCTACTTCGGCATTCGGTTTTCAATGTTTTGTCATCTATTGTTTCTTTTCTTGTCGTCAATCGGCCAAGCATTCACGAGTTTACCAGGGTGCATTTCGGAACACCGACGACGACATCTTTGCCAGCATGGGGGCTGATGTCGAGTGTCCTTTGTCCGTTCTGTTGCAATTTCAACAAAGAATCCCCAGCTCAGCTGTCTTGGTTGACTGCAGGTACAGCGGGTCAACTGGGGTGGTGGCGATGTTGGACCAAGGCCGCCGTTTGCACTGCTTCGCGCACGGCAAAATGTTTTGATTCGTTCAAACATCGAGAAACACGATTCAGTTAAACAAATAGGGTGTGATTTATTCTCAATTCGATGAAACATGGTGCCACGAAAGGCCAAAGAATGCTGACGATGGCCAATGCCACTTTGATGTTATTTAAGAGTGTTCGCTTTGTTTGTGTTGAATTGTGTTGAACGTCTGAGGTGGGTGACTCCAGGGCGGTTTTGGGCCGCCTTGAAGGTTCAACTTGGTGCGTTTGGGACCTCAGATGAAATACTAACATTTGTTTGTCAGGTTTGTGTCATTGTGTTTGTTCTTGTGCTCAAAAATTACTTCAGGCCATCCCACTAACGACAGATTTGAAACCTGACCTTCCGGAGGACTGCTTATTGAGCCCCTTCAACATGTTGTGAGCTTGGTGATCCTTTTCTCAGCTGTATTGAGGAGCGAGAACGAATAGAACTAAGCGGAGGTGGGAAGCAAGACACAGCTGTATTTTACAAGTACTAGTACTAGTTAGTAGCGCTAGTCAGTATTAGAAATAGGTACTAGTCAGTACTAGTAGGCACTAGTCAGTATTAGTAGTAGGTACTAGTCAGCACTAGAAATAGAGACTAGTCAGTACTAGTAGTAGGTACTAGGTACTATATAGTCAGTACAATAGGTGCTAGTAAGTACTAGTCAGTACTACTAGTGGGTACTAGTAAGTACTAGCAGGTACTAGTAGGTACTAGTCTGTGACAGTCCCTACCAGCCTTTGTTTCTTTGTTCTTGCATGTGTGTACAGTTGTTTCGCGACACATTTTTTTTTGGCTCAAGTGAACAGAGCGTTCATTTGTGGCTGTTGTGCGCGGAAGAGAGCGCCAGCAGCTTCACGTGCCGTTTCACACGACCCGGAACTCTTGAGCAGAAAACAGTTGGGCAGCTGCGTTTGGACAGGTTTCCAAGACTAGTTGTCCCTGCTCACAGTTGGGGGCTGTTCTGGGAAAGCTGCGGTCGTGAGACGCGCTATGAGTAAAGAAGTTGCTGGAGAAGATGAGGGCGTGACCCTATCGGAGTGCATAGCGGATGGTCGCGTCCCAGTACCGGATAAGATGTCCTTCCCGAAGTGGCAGGCTTGGCGACGAAGGTCAGGAAGATGCCCAACCAGGAGAAGGGATGGGCGAGGGCTGCCTACAGGTGAGGAGGTAGCTTTGTGGAAGGCCATTATGGCAGAGTACTATGGAGAGGATGATAGTGAGGAGGAGGAGGATGAAGAGTTCTCTGAACTGGAGCCGGTGGCTGGTTCGGCCCTTGCAGTGCCTGAGCGTAGTCTTGGACTGGAGCTGGAGGATCCAGTCCTCGCCCGTCCTCAGCCGGAACCGGAGCAGCTGATGTGGAGGAGCTGTTGAAACAGATGCATCAGTTGTTCCGCCCGGACCAGGAAGAGATGGGAGCGCTTTTAGCCAGGATCATCCGTTTGGTGATGGCTTGGAAGATTCTAGGGCGCGAGGTCAAGACTGAAGACCTGGATCAAGTCACGCTGAAGGCCGAGATCATCCAGGACGACCAGGTGGGCATTTGGGATGTCCGAGCCCTAGTTCGAACTTCGCGGGACAGGTTCGCGCTCGTCGCGCTGGATTCCGATCTTTCTGATGGAGAGAAGACCATGAAGGCAGAAGTCCTTGGGCAGGTGATCCGTGCCCTTGGTGGAAAAGAGAGCTCCAAGAGCGACAAGTTGTTCAGCGCATGTTGGGTGGAAGGCCCCGTTCTAGACTCTCCGACTCGAGCTGCGGTGTCGCTGAAGGAAGTTGGGCGCGCTGGACTTGCAAAGCATGCGACAAGCGGAGGAGACTCGCCGTTGCGCGCGAAGGTCGCCGCCCTAGAAATGGAATTGGAGGCTTCATACGCGGGTCCGAAGGTTGAGGAGAGCTTGCTGCGGCCTTGGAAGCACAAACAAAGGTGTTGAAGGAGACTTTGACCGCGAAGGGCGGATTGACTAGTGTTACATCAGTGAAAACTGATGTGAATTGACCCATGCTAGGCGACGATCGCTCTGAGTCTAGAGATGTAGCCCAATTTTATGAAGAATTTGAAGATTGCTGCTCCCTAGCCAACAACTGCAAAGGTATGCTACCGTGAGCAGTTGATCGCCTTGCGCGCCTGGTGCAGAGTCAGAGGCAGCAGGCTTAAGACCTTCACTAACATCTATCGAGCTGCGTGGCGGAGTGGTGAGTGAGATCTTGTCAAACCTTGAAACGGTGTACACCAGGATCAAGGAAAAACACCAGGTGTTTGCTGAAAGCAAAGAAGAGAAGGAAGTCCACGTGGGCAACAAGCGCAATCTGTTGCAGGATCAGACACGTCTGGCATGGGTTCGGGGCAGCCGCCGCTAGGTGGGAAGCATTCCGAGGAGGAGAAAAAGCCGAAACCGAAGCTTCTGGTGCTGCTGGCGTGAAGTCCACGAAACTCTGCTTTCACTTCCGGGATCATGGAAACTGTCCCAAAGGGGACGCATGTCCATGGTCGCGCGACAAGGAACTGACGGAAGCCAGCGGAGGAAAGGGAGCAGAGCAGACTTACGCAGGAAAAGGTGGAAAAGGCTCCTAGTAGTAAGGCCAGGAGCTACTAGTAGCTATTTGCCACTAG